TGAAGAGACATTTGACACATGCTATCAAATGAGGAGAAACATTGAAAGTGCATGAGAAATGAGATTTTATACAAAGAATGAATATTTGGGGGGGGATTAAATTACTTGATCAAACTATCTGTAGAAATATAATTCCGAGCCTGCTGGTATTTTTTCCTGAATATGCTAGCAATAGAAAAATCTAACAAGGATATGTATTTACAACAGGGTGCTCTATGCCATTGGGAATGGAAAGTGGGGCTATCAAGAATTCAGAGATTACAGCCTCTTCTTATAAGAAGACATGGTGGAGTTCATGGGAACCATCCCTTGCACGACTCAATCTGAAAGGGCGAACAAATGCTTGGCAACCAAAGGTAAAAACAAAAGCTACAAACTAAGTTACCTGATTTTTTTTCTTGGTTGAATTTTTTAAATTTTACTTTTCCATTAAATTAAATGCTTAAGGTAGTTTCCATCTAATAATTGGTAGTATCAATCAAAGAGAAGAGAGAGTAGAGAGCACAGCTGATATGATTGGTATATTTTGAATGATGCTGAATTGTTATTTACATAGTATTAATATTTCTTTCCACACTTTTATTTCTCCTTAGTGAAGTCACTTCACAAATTATATGGCAGCAGTTTCAGAGTTGTATGTCAGTTAATACTGTCTCTCTGACTGATATTCTTGTATAATATAGGAGTCTTTAAATGATTGCTTATTGTATTCATGAAATTATGGAATCATATAATCATAAGACTGGAATGGACCTTGGAGATCTTCTAGATCGAGCTTCTGCTCAGGGCAGTTTTTATTCTATCCCAGACAAATAGTTGTCCAATATTTTCTTGAAAACCTCCAGCGCTGGAGCTCCCACAACTCCGGGAGACTATTTGTTCCATTGACAATTGTTGATTGGGAAAAAAATTATATTGCAAGAATTAATACATGAAGCATCCTTGAAGAAATTTGTGTTCTGGGCATTAAATGTGTTCTATTTTTATAAGAAAGAAAAGTAAAACAGAGGAAGGGGAGATTCCATTAATTCTATAGTAGTTAAAGTCCTATATAATTGGAGATCATCTTTGGATTTGTGTTCTTTAATTTTTGGGTAGGTAGGCTTCATGTGTTCTCTTGGATTTTTAATAGCATTTAATTTACATGTTAATGAGTTCAGATTTCCTGTGCATTTCCATATGACTCAATTAGTGCAGGTTGTAGATAATTAGAGTCCAACTGCTAAGAGTAGCATGATAAAGTGAACCTTGTTAATCCTTTAGGTAAACAACAAAGATCAGTGGCTACAAATTGATTTGCAACAGCTTACAAAAATAACAAGCATAATTACTCAAGGAGCTACATCAATGTCTACAGAAATGTATGTGAAAACATTTTCCATCCATTATACTGATGGCAATTCAACATGGAAGCCTTATTTGGATGTTTGCACTTCCATGGAAAAGGTACCAATTACTTATCTTACTGATGGATTTGATTACCTAAATTATACCTTCCAACCTTATTTTATTACCATATGTATGATACTATATTGGGAATATATAAGGCTGAAAAATCTTCATTTCCCTTTTCATAGATTTTAATCTAATCTTTGGGAGTTAGTGACTCTGTACTATCTAATTTGGTTTTGTTACAGCTCCTACAGTTTGCCAGAGTACATTGTTAAATTGCTGAACTATGATTTGTAATTAGGTGGGCATCAGAGGTCCCTTTATTAATTCAGAGGAAAGCAAAGGGTACAGATGGAGCAGCAGTTGATAATAGTGGGACAGATTAGCAGTTCATTTTGCCGATTAGTTCCCCGAAAAGATCACTGCTCAAAAACCAGAATAATAATTGAGTCTTATTACAGGTGAATTATAGTTCATGTCTCCTGTGGGACATAGCCCTAGTATTCTTACTGTAAAAACTACAAGCCAATGCTGGAATGCTTCATAAAGGGTAGTTCCTAAACATTCTCAGAATCAGTTTGGTTTTTCTTGCTTTTCAGGCATGGCTAAATTCTACCATGAGGTTTTTTTAATCTCATATTTTTCAGTAAAGGAAAAAATTATGGCAATGTACATCAACCCAAAAATCTAACGAAACCTTTCCCTTCCCTAGAGGGCCTGGAAAGATTATAATCACCATGTCCCCTATTTTTCCCTATCGCTGAAAATTTCCTGGAATTCCAGCAAATATGAGATTTCTCCAATTAAAAGCACTTGGAGCATGCCATCGTCAGGACAATACATGCATCTCAATTTGAATGAGTTTGACAAAGCACATTGGTAGTCAATAATAGCATTGATTTCAGATAATGAAACAATAGTTGAAATCATAAGGCAACTTGATAGGTTTATCTAAATTTTGCAAGCCCACAAATGAGATGAATTGAGACAGAAAATCATTTTCTTGGTGACATTCTGTGGCAATTTTGAGGATTTATATTTGAAATGTTCATTCATTTGCATATGATGCTAATTCATTCTTTTGTTTTATATTAAGGTGTTCACCGGAAATATTAACAGTGATGGACAAGTCAAACACTTTTTCAAACCACCTATATTGTCCAGGTTCATTCGTATCATCCCAAAAACATGGAATCAATATATTGCACTCCGGATAGAATTGTTTGGTTGTGATGTGTTTTAAGGCTTGCACAGAAGACTATCAAATCAAGCAACTTCAATGTTTCAGGTTTTCTTATTACTAACTCTGTTTTTAAAAGGAAACAAAACAAAAGCATAATAAAACAGTATTACCATAATAAAGCTATCCTTTTCAAAAGGCTTTCAGACACAACTTTCAAATAGCTTTGAAAATATGAATCAAAATAACACAACTGAAGTGACTTTACAATGAATAATTCTACTGCCACTTTAATCCTGAACGTACATCCTAACACAATAAAATCTTATTTTTTGCCAGTTTCATGTTCCTTGTGTCTTCCTGTTCTCAAATAGAAAACATTTCATTTCAATTTTTTTGTTGCCCTTTCTTCTGAGGGCATATAATGAAAATATTACATTAATTAAATTTCAGCGATTAAGAGCCTCTAGCTCAACTTGGCTGTACTAGAAAGTTAAACCAGGTTGGCCTTGGTTAGTACATAGATGATCATCTGAAACATCTGTGCCAATGAGATGGATTGGGAAATAGAAGGCAATGGTATTTAATGGTCCACTTAACGTTGCTAGGAAAAATATGGATGTAGCTGTGTAAATCATCAGAAGTTGAAACTGAAAAATATGAATGTAGCTATGTAAATCATCAGGAGTTGAAAGGCAACTTTTAATGAAGACAGACAACAGTAACTGTTAGATCAGTGGTATAAATGCTGATATCAATGGTGCTTTTCAACAGTCTCTTTGAATAATCTTAGGTCTGGAGGAGTCAAAGTGACTAATACAATCAATTAAAATGATTTATTTCAATTATCTTTCTAATATCTACCAAAAATAAACCAATTCCAATGAATCAAGAATAAACATATCCAAACCCAATATATATAATATATGCCCAATAATTCCTCAACAAACACATCTGCTTATTTTTGCAAATTTCCATATTTTAACATTTCTCCAGTTTCTGCAGTTTATGACTTTAAACATTCTCACAATATTTACTACCTTTTCATCATTTTTTATTGAGTGCTAATTCCAAACTTTCGCCTCCATTTCAACAGAAATATATTTAGTACTCCTTTCAGCATTCCTTTAGTTTCTTTGCAAAAAATTCCATTATATTGTCATTTCCATTCACATTCATCACATATTTTAGCCCTTTCATTCATGGACAATTGGCAGCTTTTGCTGCTTTCATGATAGTAGTAGTTGGAACCAGTTTAGTGTAATGGTTAAGGTGCTGGCCTAGAAACCAAGAGACTGAGTTCCAATCCCACCTCAGGCATGAAAGCCAACTGAGTGACTTTGAGTCTCTCTCAATCCAACCAATGTCACAGGGTTGTTGTCATGGAGAAAATATAAGAATTATATATGTTTGCCTCCTTGAGTTACTTATAAAGTAACATAGGCAGCATAAAAATCTAATAAATAAAGTGATGTTATAATGAATATAAAAGGGAATGAGGCATGTGTTGTGATGAGGCAGTATTTCATTACTGACTCATTTGATCACACCTGCTTTCTTTACAGTTAATCCTACACCTTAACTTCCATACATGTATTCACCAACTATATCCGGAAATCAGACCACCTCCATTCATATCTATTACAATTTTTCCTTTTCCTTTAGTTTCATAGACACATATCTTATCTATCTACTGTATATTTAAAAAGTTCATTCATTGATTCATAATTCATTCATTCACTCATGATCTGTAAAATGTATTCCTTTTGCATTCCAAGTTAAAGTCCTCCATACATTATCTCACCAGACTGCCTTGCAAAAATTTTCCCCTGGGAAAGTCAGATTTAGATTTAAGCGTTTGATTTCACACACTTCCTATCACCTATGGAGTACAGACTGTCATATCTCAACTGAGCCCACCGTGGCTTCCTTCCTTTCAATCGTTGATTCCATCTATCTGCCCAACACCAAACTTATACTTGTGAGAACAGGAGAAAGCATGGCAGAGAACTAAAGACTGCGGAAAGCTAGAAGTAATCGCAATAAACGCTCCTAAAACAGCAGTTGAGCACGTTTTTAGATACTGGTTTGGTTGTCCAAGTAGTAATACCCCCCCCCCCCGGTGATATATTCCCTGCCCAGGAAACATTCTTCTCCACTAGTTTCACTGATGCCAGAGCCCTAAAGGCAATCCTCCTAAAGCAACGGCCCATACAGCTTCAGTTACGAAACTACTCCAGCTTTTCCGCAAAACGTGCCAGTTAAAATGAGAAAAGGCACAAAGAGGGAAGCCGACAACTTATCAAAATAAAGCCAACGGCGGTGTGGCCTGAATCTAGCAATCCAATTGGTCGCTCTACAATCAACCAGTAACCTCTCCGCCCCATTGACGTGTACTTACTTCTTTCCCTTCCACCCAATCGCGGATGCAAACGAAAGCGAGGAGGCGACACTGTTTACTGCGCAGGGCCAAGGTGCCTTTGGCCGGGTGGGTTGCCGGTCGGATTTTTGGCCATCCAGCGACAAGGCGATTGTCGTTCGGAAGCTGCCGCTGAAAGCGGGACTTTGAGCCGCCCCGTTGTGGGGCTCGTCAGATGGAAACGCCGGTTATCTTGGACGGACTCCAGTCCCGGTGGTTCCCTGGCCGCGCGAGGCGGGCCCCGCGGCGTTTTGGTTGGGTATTTCCTACGACTGTGCTGTGTGGTTACGGTTTCTTTGCTAACTTGCGACCGTCGGAACCTTTTCTCACACCTTATTTGTTGGGACCGGACAAGAATCTCACCGAGACCCAGGTGAGATATCTTCTTTAATTCTAATTTTAAAGTGCTTTTTCAAAAGGCAACTGGACTTTGTTTTTCCTTGAGGATGTCTCTTTTTTCGTCCAAGAAGCTTCTTCGGTTCTGACTGAAAGGTGGAGGATGGAAGAATGGAGAGCACAGATAAACCTTCACATGGCCTCATCTACTCTCAGAAAGGATGCTAATGAGCGTGTTGAAGGAAAAGTCTTTATCAGGGTCCAGTCCAAGCGGGGAATAAACAACATGGTGACTGCTTTAGAAAGACGGTTGCAATTTATTGAAGAGGAGAGCCAGACAGAAAGATGGCTCTGGAAGAAAAGAAACCCTTTTAATATGGGTTTCCAATCAGCATTAAAATTAATCAGTGTATTTTCTCTAATCAGAGCTGGCAGTTTTGCCATCTGAGCACATTCCATCATCTTCACAATCCATTCTTCCATTGTGGATATTGTCAGATATTTTCATTACAGTGCATATAAACAAATGTCTGGCTGTTGTTATTTATATATAAAAATAAAGTTTAGTGAGGTTTTTCCCCCCCATGCTTTCATCTATCAGAACATACTTTTGTCAAAAGAAACACCTCTGGCTTCAGTTATATATTAATGTTTAAAATATTTCTGAATTACTAATATTTTTTTTTTAGTTTTTCATGTGTCCATCAAACATGATTAAAAACTTTCAGTCACATTTCCAACATAAATTTAAAATTCCTTCATACATTTTGGACAACTATTCTAGTCACAAATACCAATGATACATCATTTTATAAAAGTTGTATTTAAGATGTGTGAATTTCAGTCCTTTCATTCACCTATTCTCCCATTGTACCATTTGTATATTATAACCAACATTTCTACTCTGTTTTGTCATATATTCTTTCACTTGTTTTTTTCATTTCAAATTTTAATAAAAGTTTATATATGTTAGCAATTATATGTTCATCATTTATATGTAATTCTGTTTTAAATTTATTTTTAATTCAATATATATATATATATATATATATATATATATATATATATATATATTGTTAGCCAATATATATGTGTGTGTGTGTTTTGAATTAAAAATAAATTTAAAACATATATAATGAGAATATATATTCTCATTAAAATATATATAATGAGAATTTTCCATTTTATAAAGATAATATCCTTTTTTTTTGTAGGTCTTCAATGAAATTTATCCAGTATGGACATACTCTTATTTAGTGCTGCTGTTCCCAGTCTTCTTGGCCACAGATTATCTCAGATACAAGCCTATCATCCTTCTGCAAGGACTAAGCCTTATAGTAACATGGTTTATGCTTCTGTACTCCCAAGGAATTCTAGCTGTTCAGTTTCTAGAATTCTTTTATGGATTAGTGACTGCAACAGAAATTGCTTATTACTCTTACATTTATAGTGTTGTGGACTTGAAATTGTATCAGAAAGTCACAAGCTACTGTCGAAGTGCTGCCCTTGTGGGCTATACCGTGGGCTCTGTCTGTGGACAAGTCCTAGTATCTGTTGTAGGCTGGTCCTTGTTCAGTTTGAATGTGGTGTCACTTACTTCTGTATCTGTTGCCTTTGCAATAGCTTGGTCTCTGCCTATGCCACAGAAAAGCTTTTTTTTCCACCATCACTCAAGCCTTCAGGTCAGTAAAATGAAGGTTCTAAGTTATAAAAATGGAACAATTATCCAACATGATCCTGCCTTAAAGAAGGTTCCCGGGTTGGAAGAAGTGGAATTGAAGATTCCATTAAATATAGAAGAGTGTCCTGCAGAGGAGCAGGTAAGTACTACTGCTTTAGCATTGAGGAGTATGTAGAAAATATAGTCTGCCATTGAGCACTTGTTTTCAGTTAATTGGATCAATAGTCTGTTATCCTTTGATGCTTCTGTTTGATCATTTCAAATTCTGATGATATTTTAATCATAGTTGTGTTGGTGAGGTCCTATTGCCTGCCAAAATAAGGACATTTCAGAATATAGACAAACCAACTATGCCAATATACATAAATAATCTATGGGGGAAAAGGCAATTTTTGTACAAAAAAATGTGATCCTTTTACCTTGGAAGACAGGTTCCTAACAATATAATAATAGATTCTTCCAAGAAGAGTTAAGAAAGCTATGGCTAGTCTTAACCCAGTGCAATCTAGACATCATTTAATGAAAATCTAATGTTAAGAGGTTGGGTTGGAAAAAGGTTCATATTGCCATTTACATAAGCTTAGCTGGCATGGTTAGAACAGAGGTAGAAAGGCTTTTCATTTTTCTACTTGTCTGATTCAGAACAAAACTCCTCTAACCACATTACACATAGTCCTTGGGTTAGAATAGCTGTTAGGACCAGAATTTTTGTCACTAAACAATGCAGCCATAAAGCATAAAGCATGGTGTCCTGTGACCATGCCACTTAGCAATGGCAGTTTGAGGACCTCACAGATACTTAAGCAAGAACCTCATATGATTGTGGCTTCCAACTTCTTTCTGGCTTCCCTGCTGACTGCTTGTGGGAAGCTAGCAGGGAAGATCACAAATTGCAGTCACATGACTGCAGAATGCTGCAATGGTCAGAAATTTGAGCAGGTTGCCAAGTGTCCAGATTATGATCATATGACACTGTAGGGCTGCTGCATTAGCCAGAACTTCAAGGACTGGTCATGTACCGCTTATTTAGCATCCCAAGTTCAAATGGTCACTGACTGAATGCTTGTTAAATGAAGACCACTGTACTGAAAGATTTTGTGAAAAATGCTCTACATATCTCACTTTGCTCTACACAATACCGAGTGTGAAAAGAACACTTGAATTTTTTATGTTGATTGTAATCATGGCGATCCTTTGAGAGAGCCTATGGTTGTTTTTCATTTATGGAAAGTAATTAAGGTACTGAGAAGTACCATTCACATAGCAACAAGGTCATTAATGTGGGAGAGATCAGTGATATGAATACCAAACTTTGTTGTTCAAACCTATCATATTTAGAGTGCCACTAACTTTCTTATCCAACTATATTGTAAATGTTTGCCCACACCGAGCTGAAACAAAGGTATTATTTGTACATGCTAAGTAGTCAAAGCTAAAATAGATGGTCTATTACTTCTGCAACAGTTGGTGATAGTTTTCTTGTTCACCATTTCCATTATTATCAAGCATAGCTTAGTTGTCACATGTTATTTAGACTTTTTATGGAATTATTCAACAGATTATTAAACCTGTTCATTTGTTTCATTTGTTTTTAAGATGGTAAAAGGAAAGATAGCTTTTGTAGAACCACACAAAATAATGTTTGAACTTGCTTAGATTTTTATGAAATGAAGATAGTTAGTTGCACTGTATGCTTCTGAATTGGGAGCCTGTCTGACACTGAAAGAAAAAAAAATCTTTATGCATGGAGTGAATACCAACTTCAGAATATATCCTCCAGCGTAACATCAAATGATTGCATAAATGTTAACTGTACTCATAGTTTAATTTTGTAAAAAGGTCCCAGACAATGGAAAGACATATAGGAAAAGGGAAGCAATGTATCAGCCCTTTTACAGTTTAAAACCTATGCAGGATTATTGATTGGCAGAATTAGTAATACTAGATCTTCCCACATTCAGTGGAATACAAAGCTATATTAAGTGTTACTTCCTATTATTTCATTCAGTGATAGAAATAAGAAAAAAGAGAGGAGTTAATAGCATACTTTAGTAAGCAGAACTATGGCCAGAGGGTGATTTGCTCTGTGGACAAGCATTCACAAATGAAAAGTATCCATGTTTGCCACATAGGAATGATCATTGTATAGAGAATTATACAAAGCTCCAGCACTTTCTCTGTACTTAAGGAGAAATGAGAACACTCTGTGATATTTGTTATGATTTCTCCCAAAATATATGAATAATATTCTTAGAGTTTATCTGGATCTGTACTATTCCAGTTGTACCATAATAGATATAAAGGACAATTCTGGTATATTTTATTTTGAATTTTTTTATTTAATCTCAACAGGAGCAAAAGGTGAACATCATGAAGGTAATCAAAGAACTCTGGCAGGACCTCTTACAGTGTTACTCTTCCTGGCCTCTGTTGTGCTGGTCTGTGTGGTGGGCCCTGTCAACATGTGGCTATTTCCAAGTCATCAATTATGCTCAAGGCATGTGGGAAATTGTGCTGCCTTCTCAGACCTCTGAGATCTATAATGGTGCCGTGGAAGCAGTTTCCACGTTGTTGGGTAAGCTGTTTCTTAACTTGACTTTCTTCTGATCAGTGAACATATTAATTGCATTTTGGAATTGTCAGAACTAATATTTACTAATTTGTATAAAAAGCATTTTGTCTAAGAGCACTCTACTACATTGCTGTTAACTGAATTCATGTGATATTGTTTTTATTAGCAATTTAGTCATAATAGTTTTGAACTATTATATGGAGATAATAGTATTTATAGAGCCTAGAGAAGATATCCACCTATATATACTTAAAGCAGTTTGGTCATATTTATGTATATACATTTTCAATGTAATGGCAACTGAAACAGTATAGCTATAGCTCAGTGGTTCTCAACTTGTGGGTCGGGACCCCATTTGGGCTCGAACGACCATTTCACGGGGGTCGCCAAACAACGCAGTCTGCCATTTTTTCCCCCTTTTCCTTAGCTGTGCTACTCCCTTTTATTCTATTGGCTTTTGAAAGCCAATAGAATAGACTCTCTTGAATAGAGTCTAATTCTATTGGCTTTCAAAAGCCAATAGGAATTGTCCAGGCTGTCTCTGCCCTGCTGAGCCCGCCAAAAGTCCCATTCTGCAAACGGTGCTGCACCAGTTGAGTAGTCCTCGACTTACGACCGGTTGAGTAGTCCTCGACTTACGACTGGTTGGGGGTCGCGGCATTAAAAAGGTTGAGAACCACTACTATAGCTAAACAATCTTTATTATGCATATTTTGAGTAACAATTTTACCAGCTAGATTAGGAAATATCTTACATAAACCAAATTATTGCATTATTCTCAATTCTAATGCCCATGATCATAAACTGTTTTGGATTCTGGCTTGTTATAAGGGACCAGTAAATTGCTTTAGAAAATAAGTATAAAGCAGAAGTTGAATTTCAACTCCACACTGAATTATATACAGGTAGTCCTTGATGTTCAGAGTAAAGACAGCCCCCCTCCTCCCCCAAATTTACTTATAACCTCATTTTGAAGTTCTGATGTCGCCCTCCCCCATCCTGTGACGATATTTTGGGTACTCAGCAAATAGTCGTTTGCAGCACCTCATGGTCATATAATCTTGGTTTTGCAGCATTTACTTCCAGTAGTGAACAATACACTTGCTTAACAGCTGATGTATTTACTTAATGATCACCACAAAAATCATAAAATTGGGTTCAAGCACAACATATGACTATAAATTGCAGGTTCAATTGGCCATAACCCAAGGACTACCTGTAATTGACTCACCCTCCAAATCACAACAAATCCTAGTTTCCTTATTTCTGCTAATGTAAACTTAAGTAACAAACACTTAACAAAGCTATTACTTTATTTTCTGATTTTGATCTCTAGAAGATTTCCTTGAAAAGTATTCAAAATATATAGTATACTGGACATAATTATTCTTGCATTCTAACTTGTTTGAATTTTACATTTATAGGTGCTGTGGCTGTATTTGCTGTGGGACACATAAAAATATCTTTTCTTACTTGGGGTGAAATAATCTTAGCTATGTTCTCCTTCTTCATTGCTGCAGCTGTGTATATCATGGACACTGTTCATAACATTTGGGTGTGCTATGCCTCCTACATGGCATTTCGAATTGTCTATATGCTACTCATTACAATTGCAACGTAAGTACTCGCTTCCATATTTTACCAGTTTATAAATTTTAAATCTTGCCATTGCTCATTTATCATACACATATGATGAGACTACAAATCCCAGAAATTCTAACTAATCTAATGAGAGTGCTGCCCCAGTACATATGGATTTACCATGTTGAGGGATGTTGTCATATAGATTTCAGAATAAATTCACTGTATTTTTCTGAAAACTTCAGTTCTGCCACAATAAAGCTATAAAATAGCCAAATAGCTAGAAGAGATTTGAACTGTGTTTTCAACGTGGTGATTTACAACATAAGAAAAATCAGTGAATTTGTTTAGTTAAAATGGGGCTGTAAGTTGGGAATGTAAGGAAATGTATTATCTTATAAATTTGTTGTAAATTTGCTGCATGTGAGAACCACATTTCTGGAACCTCTAAGCTGAGCAGATGTTGGACTGGTACACTAAACTTACATGGGAGCAGATGAGGAGCCTTTTTAAATGTCAAGATAAATATGGGGAGTGCTGCATATCTGAAGGCTGAAACTGAATATCAGTGTGTGAAAAAGAAATGATTTGTGGGTATATATAGTACTTTTTATAATCTAAAAGTTATTGATTGATTGTGATAGACCCAACTGACCTTCTGATCCTCAGACTTCCAGAGAAGACCTTTCTTCATTCCAGAAAGGCATTTAATACTATAATGATTGCTGCATTGCTTGACTTTATTCTCATCCACAGCTATTTGGTTCTTTTGAGCTCTGTTCAGGTTTAACTGAACCTTCCTCTTAACTCCATTAGGCATCCTAGCTCTTTTCTTCCAGTATGTATAACTTTTATATAATTCTAAAAGCCATTGTTTCCTTTAAGTTTGTGGCCTTTAATATTCCTGTACCTTATCAGTTCTCCCCAAATTGAATTTCTGCTGTGGTTATTATTCTCTTTATAGCTTCTATCTAGAGGACACTAAATTACTGAAAGAAGTTCAATTGCTTTGAATTTCCCTTTGATAGTAGGAAGAGAAATGTTATTTTAGTTTGTGGATTAATGAATTAAGTTCATATATAACAGAAGAGGGACAGCCAATGCCATTTGTGGCAACCTATCTTACTCTCCAAACTTGATCTACTTGTCTTAAAAATGCTCTATGTACAGTAGGAAGAAATAGTGTTTTCTTTTTTTGCATAAAGCAGAAAAATGTGCTTCTTATATCCTCCTTCACTTCTCCTGTGTCTACAGCCCGGGGAAATAGGGTATACTTCAGTACAAGGAATGGTGCTTTGAGGAAGGGGCTATCCGTTTTCTAAACCCCAATACCTTATATCAGCTGAGCCTTCTGGGAATAGAAGATACAGAGATAAGGCATAAGAGGAAATAAAACAGCAGTTTCCTACCTCATATGTTCTCTTTGAGGTTCACAAAGATCTGTGTGTGAAATGAATGGAACTCACAATAAAAAATTTATATAATCAATATAGTTACATTTTGATGATCACCTGCAAGTGATAAATGAAATGTGTTGTTTCTTTAAATTCATCCTTCTTTTCTTTTTGTGAAGGTTCCAGATTGCTACAAATCTAAGTGTAGAACGCTATGCCCTTGTATTTGGGGTTAATACTTTTATTGCACTGGCATTACAGACAGTACTCACATTGATAGTTGTTGATGCAAAAGGTCTTGGCCTTGACATAGTTACACAGGTAAGATTCATTAATTTTGATTGGGTGGGAAGAGAATAGACAGCTTTCCATAACCTGTTACCTTGCAGAGGAGTTAGACTTCAGTTCTCATAAGCTCCAGGCAGCAAATATTCTCCAGTATCCACATGACAGCATTTAAAAAGGCTATCTTCAAGTATATTGAAAATGTGAGAGGCCTGATAAGTTGCTTTTCGACGGTAAAAAGTACATAGCCCCCTATATATTGGGATTTTTTTTTTACATTCTTAATACAGATCAGAATTTCTATTTTTAGACATATTGAACTGCCAGGATGTTCAACAGATGCAATAATGCCAATTATAATTTATGTTTAGTTTAAAATTGAATTGCCACATGGCTTTGACTTTTTAACATTCCTGGAAATACACTAATAAAATATAGAGGAGGTAAACAGAATCCAATCTAATTTGCTTTCTATCATCACAAATTGTGACCCATGTAACTCATGTCTATACATGAGAAGGAACAGATTTCAGCTCAGCCCTGACAAGACTGAGTGGCTATGGCTGTTTGGGCATCCAAGGTCGGCAACATTTTCTGCACTTTCTCATTTGAGACTGGTGCACAACTTGGGAGTCTTCTTTGAGTTACAGCTACTGTTTAAGTGGCAGATAAGACCAGGAGGTCCTTTGGATATTGTGCAGCAGTTTGCCCGTTACTTGACCAGAGGTCCTTTCAGACAGGTATGCCCTAATCACCTCATGATTGGACTATTGCAGTGCCTCTATATGGACTGCTCTTGAAGATCATCAGAAACTATAGCTGGTCTAAAATGTATTGGTATCAGCAGTAACAAGTGTTAATGTATGCCCAGTTGTCGTTGCTGCTACGAGCTGCGTTGGCTGCCACTTAGCTTCTAGGTGCAACTCAAAGTACTGGTCATCACTTATACAGTCCTTCATAATATAGGGTCCGGTTATCTACTGGATTAACTATCTCCAATAATTACTGTCCACTTGGAATGGGTACATTCCAGAGTAAATGTTACGATCTTGTGGGAGTGAGGAAGTGTGCCTTTGCTGTCACATCCCCTATCCTCTGGAATAGCATTCCTTCAGACATATGTAAGGCACCCCTTCTCTTAGAGTTCTGGAAGCATTTATGACCTGGCTGTATTCCCAGATTTGCGGTTAGCAAAGCCCCTAACGGTACTAATATCTTTTCCTCTGGGCTGCTATGCTCTGTTATTACATTTTTAATTGTTTTGGGATGTTGTAAGCTGCCCAAAGTCTTCTGGAATGGAATGGCTATAATAAATCTAATAATTAATGATCTTTGAGACAGAAGATCTAAAAGGTGCTTTTCCAGGTGTGTTTAAAATATCCACAGCAAATTAAGTTATTTTTAATCTGTTTCATGATCGTACCTTCTGTGAGAGAAGTCAGTGAACATTAACTTCTGCTTTTACTAAACCTTCTTTTGTTTTTTGTAGTTCATGATCTATGCTGGTTATTTTGCTGCCATAGCAGTATTGTTCCTGATAAGTGGCACATATAGTATTATCAAGAATTTCCGGACAAAGGAAAGGAGAAGAAATGATGCTATTGCAGATGACACTTAAAATACAAAGTATGAGCTAATTTGATATCTGGTGGGATAAACCTATTTTTAAATATAATGGTTTATATTTATGCAACTATTGTTACTTTAAAGCCACTATCTGTATTGTATTTGATTCTATTTGTACTATATTAGTAGCATATGTTCAAAGTAGAATACATTTATCTTATATAAGTAAGACTGCTGGATTTAATAACATAGTGTCAACGTGCCTTTTGTGGACCAAGTCTACATGGGGAGAATTTTTTTCTGTTTTTTTTTCTGTAGCCAGACCATAAAACTGTAAATGGAAAGTGATGATTTTGTTAAAACATAGCCTAGCTATGCTTTCAGTGTTCTTTATATGTTGATTTCTAGAAGCCTAGAACTGTGAGGCACTGTGATAGAACTGCAATCAGCAGCATCCTTTCAAACTAATTGGCCGTGGCAGGATACTGCTCAGGTTTAGTAGTTGCACGTTCTGCTAGACCTTTCTATATATGCAATCAAAATATTTTTAACTCTAGAATGATTTTGGTAAATTTAAAGGTTTTAGTTCTCTCTTGCTGCTTTCCTGATTTGCTGACTTCATGAAGTGTCAACTGTATATCTTAATTCATTGATACTATAAGGCAATGATAAACAGAAGCAGAAAACCTCCTGGGATTCAAACATAGGTTGCCATTTGGATAATTTTATTGGTCATATTAGGCTTTTCAGCTTCTCCAAAGAAACTCTTAAATTTATGTATTTACGCTGTTGTTAGTAGACTTTCACAATGTCTAAGTAAAAGAAATGGCAGCTATATTATTCTGTTCAAGTAATATAAATTGTCTTGATTGCTGTTTCTGCCAGTAATAATTGTATTTTTTTAAGTGTGGAACAAATGGATACAACAATACCAGATACATCATTACTTTAATTGTTTTTGGTGTTTTCTAATAAACCCATAATTTGGATTTATTAAAATCCTCTGGGGGTGATTTCTGGAGCCTTCTGGAGTTACCTAAGTAGACTATAGATATTTTATAATCACTAAGAAACTGCAGAAGAACACCGACAGTTCTATTTATCCTTTAAATTTAGAGAAGAAAGATTTCATATGTATTTTTTTTGGTTTTTTATGTTGAGTTACCTTTTTTTATTGCCCAGTTACATTGTTTATATTTCACGTGAATGGATAGCAAATCATAAAATCGAATAAATCCATAAACAGCAGTATTTACTTCAGGGTGTTGGAGTAATTGCTAAAAATACTAACCCTGGCCACATGATGAAAAAGCTACATGTGAAAAGTTTCATTTTGTTCATTGGTGATCAGTATACACTTACTTAGGAAATTATTTAGCAACTAGAGTTATGATAGCACTGAGCAAATGGTGTTTATTACAAATTCTCAAAGGTCTGGCCACCACAGCACCCCCTAATTGTGTTTGCACTTAGAATAGTTGCAGCATCCCACATTCATGTGATTGCTATTTGTAGCTTTTCTTGATGCCTTCCCACAACAAAGTTAATGAGCAGGGAAGGTTGCAAGATGCTTTTATAAATTGCTCACCCTCCTACATCCTTTTTTCTGGAGGAGCCTGCGTACCCTCCTTTATCTGACAGCAGCCACTCAGTCCTGCCACTCTTGCACACTGCTCAGCAGCCATCCCTGGTATCTCTATGCTCATGTAGCATCCACTTACCTCCCCCAGTGGCTTGCTTGAGAGCTGCCTGGGACTTGCAATTTCCTGCTGGCTTCCATGTGGACTTTGCTTATTGGAAGCTGGTAGAAAATCATGAGGCAATCTTTGCTTAACCATCCACAATCCTCACTTAATTACAGCAACACTTGAGGTTGCTATTGTTAAGTGATGTAGTCATATAATGTTGCACTTTATAACTGCCTTGCTTAGCAAGGGAAATTCTGGTCCCAATTACCATCATTAAGCACTGACTACCTATATTTATAGTTGTATCTCATGTGAATGATTTTCAGTAAGGGTTTTCCTACCAAATAATTTTAATATGTGTGAAGAAGTCCATATTTATAAACTTTTTTAAAGTGGGATTGTTCAGGTGGCAGCAACTAACTGACCTAGACTGATCTTAAAAAGCTGGTCCAGTATTGGATAGGAGGTACTGAAAAATCCTCAACTGTAGCCTAGGCTGGGAATCTGAAAATATCCCAAAAGGCAGCAACAAAGTACTGTATTTCTACATTATTGCTAAAAAATTCAAGGACTTGTCTATGGAATCAGAAGCTGAGCTCAGTTCAATGGAGTCTTTTATCTTTTTTTCTGCCAAACTTGTAATATTTTCTCATTCAGTGCTATTTTTGCTCTATTAGATTTTATTGTAATACTTGGGAGTATTACAGTTCCTGAAGTATGAGTATAAAAACTGGCAAACTGAAAAATTCAGAAGAACGCCAATTACCCATTCTTGGTTAAAGCCACAGTGTCACACAACACTCATTGTTATGACACTCCATTGTAATTTTTTTGTGTGACAGTTTCTACTTTGGAAGTTAATCTTATGAAAACGTCCAATAAACTTTCTTGACTCACAAAGAGAACATCTTCCCTTCAACTATTCATATAACCAACATACATAATTTTAATTATAATTTAAAATATAATTAAAATTATATGTACTTCAGCCCTTCGTGTTTCTCTTGATAAGTGAAGATTGATATAGTAACTGTGAAACCTCATTTATGTAAAGGATATTGGTAGTGGATGAATTATGACACTTTCCTTGTTTGAGAATAGCTGTATGAAAGCACAAACACACACACAGGGAAAATTATGCTATATTAATAACTAATACTAATACAGTCCGCTCTTTTTGAGGATGTATGTTTTTTGCATTAATATAATCACATTAGGGTACAGTGTTTTAAAGAGAAGTTTCCTTCTCAAAGTAAAAATAGCAGGAAAGTTAAATAAAAATATCTTAAAAGGAAAAAATATTTTAATCAAACTGTAAAACTATTTTAAACAAATAAAGATATTTGACAATTTAAAAGTTTGTTTTTCATCATTTTTGCAACAATAATTCTAATATATATCATTTAAAACAGGGGTCCCTAACCCTGGTCCGTGGGCCAGTACTGGGCCATGGCATGCCAGAAACTGGGCCGTGCAAACAATTGAAGCCCCATCCACAGGATGCAGGAAATACGCAAAAACACACCCCGTCTGGTCCATGAAAAAACTTCTCCACAGAACTGGTCCCTGGTTCCCCAAAGGTTGGGGTCACTGATTTAAAAATCATCAACATCCTCTTATACGCCTATAGAATTGTGCAGTGTTTTCCAAAATTTGTATCTGATTCTTTATCATCATGCATTACTGTAGTATCGGCCTATAAATTCTAGCTTTCGTATGCAGTTATAACCTTGATTACATATAATATATACTTTCTGATACATACTTTAGCATTTTACTTCCTAGCATATATAAATCAGTTCCACTCCAAAAGATCAGAACAATTTTATTTATATCTCTTTTCTTCTCTTAAGATTTAAACGATCAGCCTGCACCAATACAAGTACAGGCCACTGACTATTTCTAAAGGCAGGAATGCACAACAGCATTGCATTCTCTACCTTTCCCAGTCCACCAAAAAGGCAATTTCTGCTATGCATTCACAGTTGGATTTTTTTGCCTTATGTTGCTTATGTGCAGCATGTGCTTCATTTCATCATACAAATAAGCAGATATCACCATTCCAATAGGCTACTATGCATGCTGGCAGAAATGCCCCCCTCCTGTCATTAAAGAAGGGAATCTACCAATTGGAAGCTGAGGCAAACGTTGAGTTCAGACAACATGAGACCTTGATTGACCAGTGTGGAAGGGGTTAAAAATCTGGAAAGGGATTTATTAAGTTGGTTTTATTTCCAATCAGTTTAAGAATAGGAGATCAGCAATTTAAGCATCTGTGAAATTTAGAGCAGAAAAGCTCTAAATTTCACAGATGGTTAAACTGCTGATCTCTGGTTCTTAAACTGATTGGAAATAAAACCAACTTAATAAATCCCTTTCCAGATTTTTAACCCCTTCCTCATTTAGAGCTTTAGAAAAGCTCTAAATTTCACATGTGGACTTATTACCTTCCTTCCTTCCAGCATTTACCCTCATAGTCCAAATTGAAATTTTCCTGATACTATGGTTATCAGGCAGCTGTCTGTATGGTCAATTGAGGCTTTGACACAATATGTTTTAGTAAGACAAGAGGTTGGATCGGGTTACCAGTCTTAGGTACAAATGTACCAAATGCAGCCATCCCTACTAGATGTCAAGATAGCAACAATCAGTTCTTGAACATTTTGGCCAGTATGGCGTAAGCAGAACCAAACATCTTCATGCTATTATATGTCAACCAGGATCTCTAATCTAGCAAGACCTTGCAAGCCGATATACAGTACCGTTGCCTGTAACCCACCAACTAAAACACATCCCGACGCGCGCACTCGAGAGGAACGTGCACTCAGGACTCTTCAGACAAATAAAATGTTATTTTCTCAAGTTACAACCCAATCTGTACCATTTCTCCCCCTCCATTAGTTTGTTAGCTGTTACTCCGCAAATGCAAATTTAAACTACATACGCCCAATAACACATTTCACAGATATTCTCCACCATTGCAAGCACTTTTCCCGCCTACGCGCCACTTCAACTCTTTCCGTAGCGGCACAAGGGTTCGGCGGAATCTGTTATTTGTTCTATCGGGAGATCGTCCTGCCCCCGGTTTCCATGGAGACGGAAAGCGTGGTGCGCGGCAAAAGTGCTCCGTTTGATCCTTTACAGCCGCCGTCCTCTGCTTGGTGAGTGGTGGGGGAAACCTCGGAGACATGGCAGGACGCCGGTGGGTGCAGCAGTTACCATGACGACGCCATGGCGGGCGGGTCACTGCTCAGCGCCGTCCACAGGTGGAGATGAGAGGGAAGGTGCGACAGGGTTTGGAGAGCCGGCGCTTAGAGAGTGAAAGGGCCTGAGGTTATGACGGGCAGGCTCTTCCATGGCAAGAAAAGCCCGACGAAGCTTGCTTTGTTCGCAAGCGAAGGCTGAAAAGTTGCTGACTCGGTTGAAATCGGCGTAGGGTTCCCGGAGCAGAAAAGAGAGTGGGACCTAACTTGTCTGAATATAAATTTTTGTTCGGAGGGTGGTAATTCCGCGATTAGTGCTAAAGGGTGGGCAGGCGTCCGAGATAGGCACGCAGTGTGTGTCGCTGTTTCGGTAGTTCTGACAGCTTGAACGTTGTCTTGGGGGTCCGAGCCTGCCCTTATTTCAGCGAGGATCAAAACGGAGGTGCCGATTGCCATGGCGACAGGTTTAAAGACTTGGCTTACTTTTTAGTCTCCTCCCCCTCAGACGCTTAACGAGCCTAGGCGGCATCAAGCCTTAATCTGCCCCCTTCGCTCTGTTCGGGACTGTATGACTGGATTCCAGAATTGGTTCGGTTTGAAAGGAAAGGTTTATCGTTTGCCTCAACGTACCTTGGCAAGCATACAGTGGGAAAAGGTCAACCTCTTCTCCAAAGCACCTGAGGGCAGGACAAGAAATAAGGATGGAAACCTATCATGGAGAGATCCAACCTAGAACTAAGGAAAAATTACCTGACAGTGAGAACAATTAACCAGTCGCACCGCTTGCCTTAATAAAAGACAGGTTGCAGTTCTATCAGATTAACACATGAGTCAGTTTTATATGCTGCTCCTGCATGCAAGAACATCTTTTAATTGTTAATTAAGTTATCCATATTAGTAACTAGTTACGTCTCTCACCTTTCCTTAACAATGTATGTATGTGTTATATGTGTGTGTGTGTGTGTGTGTGTGTGTGTGTGTGTAAGATATACATTTCTAAAGACTATACTTAATACATTTGACTAAGTGGACAACATGTGGAAATTAATATGATAAAATATTAGTATTTAAGGAACAGAAGACTCTTTGATCAAAATAATTGTGTATAAAGTGAGGATAGTAAAAGCAAAAGTGGGTAGTGAGGATCAAAGAAGAAATTACTAGAATATTCTCAGAAGAGCTGTAAAGTATAACTAAAGGAGAATTGAGTATTTGTCCATATAGTCAACAAGACTAAAATGACTTGATGCCTTCTATCTAATTTGTGTAGAGGTGGTCCTTTTTTAGTGATTGCTTAGTTTAGCAACTGCCTTGTTTAGCAACTGTTTGCAGTTATGAAGCTGATGAAAGAGTAACTTTATGATCAGCCCTTAGATTTATGACCTTTGTAAGCCTGTAAAGCAAAGCAAAGCAAAGCAAAGCTGAAGTAAGATTATAAGTATGATTGTGGTGTCACTTGTCCTAGTTGCTGGTCATAATTGTGGTTGCTAAATGAGAACTATTCTAAAATAGCCCATGTGAGCTTAATGCCTTGTCTAAAATGTTATTTAGAGAAACAGAAAACCTGGATTATAATATATAATATACTGGATCTATCAGTTCTGCCTTCCCATGTTATTATTTCAATTGATCAGAATGATGAACATCTCATTTCATTATACTATCTTAAAGAGTTCTGTAAAACCTAAGTACAATAGAAATAAACCTGTACTTTTTAACAAGATTACGATCCTGCTTATACAGATAGTCCTCTACCTATACCAGGGGTTCCCAACCTGGGGAGCTCGCACCCTGGGGGTGCGAGATGATATTCCAGGGGGTGCGGAAACTTGGGTTTTTAAAATTATACTGTATATGCATAATTCATTGCCGTTATTTCAAACTTTTGTAAGGGATACGAGAATAGATCAAAAGCGTTCTAGGGGTGCAGGGTATAGAAAAGGTTGGGAGCCGCTGAATTAACAACAGTCCTGAAAAAGTGACTTATGACTGTTTTCACACTTATGACCATTGTAGTATCCCCATACTCACATGATCAAAATTCAGATGCTTGACCACTGAGTCATATTTATGATGAGTGTCCTGGAGTCATGTGATCACCTTTTGCTACATTCTGACAAACAAAATCAATGGGAAAGCCAGATTCATTTAACAATCGTGTTACTAACTTAACGACTGCAGTGATTCACTTAACAGCTATGGCAAGACAAGTCGTAAAATAGGGCAAAACTCATTTAACTGTCTCGCTTAGCAACAGAAAATTTGGGCTCAATTGCAGTCATAAGTCGAGGACTACCTGTACTTACTTTGGAATTGCTGTTGAACTTATCCCTATCCTTTAATTTTCTGTTACCTTAACATAAACTTGTAGAATAACATGTTAGTGTTTTGAAATAATTAGGAGCAAGTACTTTGCTGAGTAACATTTTATTGCCGTTATGTGAGTAACATTATAAATTGATATATGCTATTTGTAATTTTATAGTTTTATTTTAAGAAACATCCACAATGAGTGACAAAAAAGAAACCAGTGAATCTACAGACACGGGAGATACCACAGAAGGTGGTGACTATGAGGATGATTTTGAGAAAGACCTTGAGTGGCTAATTAATGAAGAAGAAAAAGAAATTTCTGATGATATACAGGTATTAAGAAAATATAATTGTATACCAGTATACATAGAACAAAGATATGTAATACAGATTGATTAGAAGAGTTGCTGAACGCAGGATGAAATTTAAATGGTTTATGATTAAATGCCAAATGGCAATCAGCTATTCTGTGGCTTGATTCACCATCAAGTTAATAACGTGTTTGCTTACTTTTGGGTCACTATGTTTTATGAGTCTAACCACTGTAATTTGTAAACTATTACAATTTAGTTCAGTGGAACACAATCTGAAGCCCCAAGGATTTGTGAAGTCCCTCCAAAGCTTTTGTGAGTCTACCAAAAATTGTTACTAAATTATGTAACAGGTATTGTGATAAAAGGGAAATTATTAAATGCATAACTGAAAAAGATTGTTAACTATGTTTGATTTCCATTAAATATAAATGAAATAAATTTAGGAATTTGACGTGCAGACTTCTATGCAAAACTTTAGAGCAGTTCTTAGATCAGAAAATTATATATTCCCAGGTTATCATAGTGTAAGAATAAATTGTCATCCAATAAATCATGCTCAAACAAATTGTGCTTTAAATAGTACATAAACCATGACTGTGCATATTGCCTCCTACATTTTGTGTAAATAGATATTACATTTTTTTTCATAGAATCATGATGACAATGAAAAGGATTTTGAAACTAACACTGACAAAGACTTAGAGGATAGAAAAAATCCTTCACAAGATTCTCTTGAGCCTGAAGAAATACTGAAGGATGAGGAACGAAATTCTTCACAAGAACCTCCTGAGCCTGAGGAAGCCCTAAATGATGCATCACAAAATGAAATACATTCTATATTTGAACTTGATCCTAAGGCATTGGAACCAGTATCTGATACAGATAGCGAAAGCTCCGGTCAGGAATCAAGGCTAGAAGACAAGGAGGAAGACGATGAAGATATAAAGCGTTATATCTTAGAAAAAATTGAAGAAGCTAACAAACTTCTGTTGAGTCAGGAGCCTTTAGATGAAACAAAAGAAAGAAAACTAAAATTCAATGATAGTATAGTAGAACTAGAAGTACCATCTTTGATAAATGCAGAAGCAGATAAAAATGATCCTTACAGAGAACAAAACATTGCAGGTAGGCTGTCTCAGTTGCGTATTTCTAATGAAACAGGACAGGAAGATATATCTCTGTCCATCAATGGTAGTATGGATGATGAGCACAAGGATGGCAAGATCCTAGTAGAAAGAGATGGGAAGTTTGAACTCTTGAGTATCCGTGACATTGAAAGTCAAGGCTTATTTCCTCCTCTGAGTATTTCTTTCAGTGACATTGAAACTCAGCATGTTTCTCCTAAAAGTTCGTATGCTAGTGCTTTTGGTGCAAAAGACGAGTCCTTCTTGCAAACGCCTATAACATCTTGTTCTCCTTGCAAAGAAAGATATTTTTTTTTCCCTCAACCACCACCTATTCGACCAAGCTCTGCCATCAATATTACGAGGAATATAGAAAGGGGAAGGAGCCCACGCAGGGTCCAGTCAGCAAAAGTGAGCCTTGATATAAGAAGTTCTACATTCTGTTTATCACCCAGGCAAAAAGAGCTACAGAAACAAATAGAGAAAAGAAGAGAGAAAATAAGAAGAGAGGTGAGAATATTAATGATGTGGTTACTTTTACAAATCTACGATTAGGATATGGAAGCAAACAATACCCTTGATATTTGTTCCTCTTGCAAATAATATTCAGAGTACAGGTTTTATATATGGGCATTGTTTAGCTGTCATCTTCTTTTATGCAGTCATTTGTGTTTGAAAACTTCTAACAGGAGTGACTTGAAAATGAACTTTAAAATAAATCTTGTTGGTTCATATTTTAAACTTAGCATGTTGTGTTTCATCTTTTAAAACATTGCTAATACTATTCCATTTGTAAGATTGTGTCCAGAGGTCAGTTTCCCTTGCTGGCTTTGTTCTTGTTATGCAATAGTAGTTTATTTAGTGTACCTCAATTTCTTAGGTTTTCACAATATACCGAACCATAAAATAACATGAACTTGATTAAAAAAACCACATACATTAACGTTTGATTTATGATTCAGGGTATTGTATGAACACATATTGTATGAACTGTTTGCAGTTCTAAAAGCAGAAATGGTTTGATGGAGGAGGGAAGCCACAATCATCAAGTAACATGAGGCTTCACTGCAGTTGAGAATCTTACTAATTTTAAAAACCTATTGTGTTTATCATTATAATAGTATCTTTGGCTAAAAATAAAAACAAAAATTTGGATTACCTTGGCGCTAATCAACATTTCTTTGTCTTCTGATCCTGTAGAAAATCTCAGAATGAGAAATCATGTGATTTTGGGTAGTTCCTGCTCCTGCTTACAATCTTTGGGCCAGTCTTCCTTTATTTTCAGTGTCTCCCAAGCTTTCAGAAGACCTTGAGATTGGGGATATATTGTGGAAGAACAGCTGAAAATCGTGTTCTTTTTTTTCTAGTCTGTATCTAGTCTGTGATGGAAAATTATTTAACTAACTTCTTTTACAATTTCCATTCTGGAAATTCATAATTCTTTATGTTCTGATTTTTTTTCTAAAATTGTCATTATTTGTTAATGTTTTAATGCAAGGAAGAAAACCAAAAAAAGATGTTGGAAGATGAAAAAAAGAGAGAAAATGATAGAGTCTTCCAGGCTTGGCTGCAAAAGAAAAAAGATCAAATGCTGCAGGAGAAAAGAGTTCAGCGTGCCAAAGAAATAGAGAACTTAAATAGCAGGGTAGGATGAAGTTTCCATTATTCTTCTGTGGTTGGTTCAGTTTTAAAAGTTTAAACCAAGTTTTCTTGATGAGGATGGATAGAATTCAGCCTTTTATTTCCAGATGCAACTATTTGTATGTCAAGGACAAATCTCACTTATTTACAGATAATATAATGATCAGCTATTTAGAAGCCAAATTAGTGTGGTATTAAACATTACTGAAATTCTTTTTGTTGCAATGTGTTGTTTGTGTGGATATTTCCCCAACATCAAATATATCCTAACAATAATTGCAAAATTTCAATTTCTAGATGCATAGTCCTTGCTTATGTCAGAAAATGTCTAGAGTTTGTCACTTTGTTATAAAAAGTATGGAATGTTAATTTTGTAAATTAATAAAATGATTTATGCTAATATTTTGAAAATACAATTGGGTAATATACCGTAAATTGAGTTATATTTAAAAGTTTGTGAACCATTCTGAATTTTCAATATTTCTGCATAAATATGTGATGGAATATGCACATGGACAATCAGTGGATAGGAGTTATTGCAATACAGAGCTATCCTAGGAAGGAGGCAGTAAACCTCATCAGAGAGAGAGAGAGAGGCCCAGATTAAGAGACTGTGCAGGCCCCAGTTGGATTGAGGAAGGAAGGTTCCGGATAGTTTTACCCTAGAACCTCTTGGGATGTATCTAGTAAGTTAGAAGATTATAGCTTTAGTTAGGCAAGATTCTGTTTGTTAAGTATAAGCAGATAAGGATTGGACTCATTGGGATTTTGCTGTGTCTCTTTGGGTTTGGGCCTAACAAAGTATGTCCTAAAATGAGATCTGTTCACACAAGTCCTGAAACTAGATGAAGAGAACCCAATAAATGAATATGTAAAAACATACTTGTTCATTGATTTCTTGAAGAAAATAATCAAAAGCTAGATATATGTGTGTGTGGCTGCATTGTACAAACTTTTAGGATTATTAGTTCACTTGAAGGGAAAATTGGAGCAAGGTGTTTTAATCAATGGATTGCTAATCAGGTATAAATGTGGAAAGTACTTATTAAAGAACAGAATGGCAGATATTCAATATCAAAGCCTGATCTTCACAATATAGATATGTGGAAATATGTCAGGGCTTGAACAAAGGTGATTTCTTAGGACTTCCCAAAAATAGTTGTTGATGCTCCCAAGCTGGAAAAGGTTACAAAACTATTTCCAAAAAGTGTGGACTCCAATAGTCCACTGCCAGGCAGATTGTGTGCAAATGGAGGCAATTCAACACTATTGTTACTATCCCCAGGAATAGTTGACCAATCATGATCACACTAGGAATAAGGAGTGTAATAGTCCAGGAGGTCTCAAAAAAACCTGAGGTAATATCTAAGAAAGTAAAGGCCTTACTTGCATTGACAAACGTCAGTGTTCCTGAGACCATCATCATGAGAATACTGAATAACGATTTACATGGCAGAATTGCAAGGAGAAAGCCATTACTTTCAGTTAGTGAAAGACTATGTTCGGTCTTATCCAATCTGTGAAACGTACCGGCAACAAAGTAGTGACCTACTTTGCTGCCTTTGGGCCAGGACAATCGATAGAACTATAAATTCTGAATTGTATCAGTAAACTCTTTAGGAAATTGTTAGGATATCTATGGACTGAAACTCAAGAGAAATGGGTCATGCAGCAAAGCAGTGAACCAAAACACCAGTTGTACAACCCAAGAATTAAAATCAAAGAGCCAGTTTGGTCTAGTGGTTAAGGCACCAGGCTAGAAAGTGAAAGACAGTGAGTTTGAGTCCCACCTTTAGGCATGAAAACCAGCTGGGTGACCCTGGGCCAGTCACACTCTCTCAGCAAAACCCACTTCATGTTGTTGTGGGGAAAATAGGAGAGATTGTTATGTATGTACTTCACCTTCAGTTATTTATTTGTATTTCACATTTATTATTTTTAGAAATAATAAATTCTAAATTAATTAGAATTCAAGTCCACAAACATATGCAACATACCTTCCTCCTCCTATGTTCCCGTCAACAACCCTGTGAGATGAGTTGGGCTTAGAAAGTGAATGGTCCAAGGTCACCCAGCCAGCGTTCATAGCTAAGGTGGGACTCAAACTCAGTTTCTAACATGGTCTCAAACTCTTTCTAACATGGTCTCTTAATCACTAAACCAAACTGACTCCTATTATTCATAAAAATAATAAAATAAAAATAAAATACTAATTACAAGAATTAAGATGCTTCTGAACACATGCAGATGACTGGTTTTGTATCCAGTGTATCACTGTTACTAAATATGGAATAATAATTAGATGGAATTGTTAGTATGAATTATTTTCAGGTTGTGTTTATGATGTAATCTCTTCCCTTTTCCACTTTTCTGATATTATTCTGGAAGGCAGATATGCATCTACAAATCATAACCAGTTCATGAATACTTTTTCTTTTGATTTTAATAGATTACAATGTCTCATGCCTTCAGATTAGGACAAATTAGTTTCATGACTCTAAGTATCTGTATACATTTTCTGAATTTTAAAAAGTATATATTTTTTATTTTTAAATAGGAGAATAGAAATCCAGATGATGCTTTCAAGTTGTGGCTTAAAAGAAAACAGCAGGAACAAATTAAAGAAAAACAGATACAAACCCTGAAAGAGCAAGAAGAGGGTATGTTCTTCCTTCCAAGAACAGTTGAAAATGACAAAGCTTATAAACAGTAAGCATTTTTGTTTTTCATTTTAGAAACCAATATAACATTGCTATTTTAATAAGATCTGGATGTTTTTTTCTCCAGGAAGCAGATGAATTTCGGTCCGTTGTCTTCTCTTGTTTTCTCCTGTAAATGTGTATTTTTCTCACTACATTTTGGATCAATCTAGAGAATATATTCGCACAACATAAAATAATACTGCAGTTTGAAAACTTGGATCAACTTAGAAACCATGTTTTTAACACAGTATTATACGTTATGAAGATGTTATGTAACTATAGATTAGTCACTTTTTCTTTTTGCTTTACAATACTAAATGTTCAGATACGTTGTTTATCAAGTTGATCTGCTTTAAACTGAATGTAGTGATTGAGGGGTTTGATTCAACACCAAATAACTTTAGATCATGGCCAGTAATAATAGAAATGAAATTTGGTTATTGCTTGATGAGAATAGTTTCAGATTCAACATTTAATTTTTTACCAAAACGCTTGGGCTTATATTTCTCTGTAAGCTATAGCGTGATAATATGCTATGTTAATGAGTAATAAATTCACTGTCCTCAAAAGATTCAAATACTTACTGGTTTCAATTATTATGAACTATAGTCCAAATCACAGGTAATTGTCTAATAAGATTTTTAGATGTATTCTGTCCCAGAATGTATCTTTTTAGGGATAGGTTATCTGCTTGTACTACACAAACAGCAAAAATGAAGTGTTGGTTAATATTCAGTTTTAAACATGATTTCATTTCTATGTAGATGGCTAAGAAGGAAGAGACGTGAGAAGCGAGAAGAGCAACTAATTGCTAGAGAACGATCAAAACAGTTTAGGCAAGAAGCCAGAAGAGCAAAGCAAATAGAAAATATTATCCATTCAATTTCTGAACCAAAGTCCCTTCGCTTTACAGATTAATACTGCTGAGATTTAGAGGCCCTGGATGCCTCTTGTGTGTTCCAGAATATCTTGCATAGCTTTGAGATTGCCTGTTGGAAGTGGTTTCTCTTCTGGAATATTTTGAAATCCTTCAATAATGGCTTAATTTTCTCTTAGTAATTTTTCCCCATCTTAAACTTGGAATAATTATCTATTTGTGAATAGATCGGGATTGCCTTCTCAGTTCTATAAAACTTACATATAATAAATACTCCTACTGCAAGTATGGTGTATTTTTTTCACATCTGGCATTTGGTTAGAAACCCTACACCATTAATCACAGCTGATGCCAAAATAATAGAACACATTATTTATGTATATATCAAAGTTTACTGTTCATTCAGGCAGCTGAGCTATTTTAAAGTTCCACTTAATAAAGTTTCTATTTTTCTGTTTTATGGGCTTATTACATATTCAGCAGTAGTTATTAAGGACATGCAAGTATCTCCCATTTTTCAGAAACACTTTCTACTTATTTTGAAGTAGAAATTACTAAACTTGCACTGCTTTGAAATGAGTAGCTTGTAAAGTAAAAGTGTTAGAATATAAATCTCTTTTGTTTCCAAAATTTGGGGAGATAGTTGAAATAGGACTTTGCTATCATATAGCACTTATTTTTATACTGTTTCCTTTTGCTCACTCTCTCCCATTCAGAGATATGTTGTATATAATGCCAAATCTATTTTGTATACTATACTGTCATTCATATGTGTTTGTATGGGGTTTATATGACAGGGCTGGGTTAATGAGTCAAACAGGTGTTGCAGGACTGTTTTTCAGGAGTAGAAAACTTAATGTACAACATTCTTCTAGAAATGGCTAAAGGTTTTACTATGTCACAGCATTATCTGGAAGTCCCATTGTAAAAAATCCAGCGTATTTGGTGTGTTATTGAGAAATTGCAAATTATACCACCAACCCAACCCCACTATTAAGAAATAGAGATTTAGAAAGGAAGTGTTTTTTTTTTAAGTGATGACAGCATATTTTTGCCTATTTACAAATTAGAAAAAAAAAAGATAAAATAATCCAACCACATTTAATAGCACCGTTAAAATCTTTTCACAGAATCCCTCAGGGATACTGATTTTAAGTTTGTTTTTTAAAAAACCTTTTGTACAAAAGGTGAACTCAGAGGCACATCTCCAATAGTTTGCACATAAATGCTGTTGCTACTCTTTGACATAAATGTTGTGCATTAAAATTCATTTACTCTCACCAAATCTACTCCATCACTTAAAATCTTTAAAGTACAGTTTATACCTAAAGAAGCATTTTGAGTTTTCATTAAAATATGCATTTTAACCTGCCCATGTAACAGCTAATACTGGAAGTCAACTGTAGAAAATACTTAAGACACCCACCCTAATTCTAAAATAAAATAGTTCACATACAGAAATAAGCTGGATCTTTTCAAGGAAGCAAATATTTGAGGTTCATGGGATATTTCTAATACTCTCAAGTGTTCTCTTAAAGAAGAAAAGTTGGTAATTCAAATTCTATAGATCTTTGTACAGTATGGAACATTTTTCTAATACATTCTTGGTTGGTATCAAACAATTTACATTGCATTACAAATTCAATCTACCACAAAGGAATTTGAGACAGAACATTAAAGCCCTGAAAGCTTTATGAAAGACATATTTCTAGCACAAAATCCAGTACTAGTTAAAAGTACAGAAAATAAAAGTGCCCAAAGATCGTATGCTTTATTAGAATCGGAAGTCATTGCTACTAACTAAATAGATTTTTTTAAAGGACAAGTAATTCTCCTTTGCAGCGATCACAACAGTTGAAAGTTATGTTCTCATATCTAGTATAGGGATGAAATCGTCCAATATTTTTCTTTGGGGAAAGAAAAGATGGTGTTGAAGGCTCCGAAAAAGAAAGTTCTGATACTTCTGTACATTTGCCAGAATCTAGCATTCTTAATACCTGGAAAATAATAACAATGCATAGCAATGAACTGCAATGGTTTCTTTTGCTAAAAATATTTATAACATGTTTAAAACAATCTGAAATATCCAGATAAAGGGATATCTCATTTTTTAAAGTTAGAAAGTTCAATTCCCATGCAAGAGAAATTGTATTGCCAATTTACTTTTTAGAGATAGTGTGGTATCTCTATAACAGGGGTGTCAAACTCAATTTCATTGAGGGCCGCATCAGCATTGCGGTTGCTCTCGGGGGCCGGGTAGGTGTGGTCAGGGTGGGTGCGGCCTATTGGGTGGGTGTGGATGGAGTGGATGTGGCCTATTGGGTGGACATGGCCAGCTCTACATTGTTCGCGTCAAGGGTGCCTGTCGGGGCCTGGGCAGGAGTGGGACAGATCTGAGGGTCTCTGGAAGAAGGGGGTGGGATGGGGCAAGCGCCAAGGCATGATCCATTTCTTCATTCCTCACAAAGGGTGACACTTCCCCAGCATGCACTCGGGGTGGGGCCGACGTGGCAGGGGCTGGTTCCTCGCTGTTTCTAGACGGCCTTGTGGAGCTAAGACTGAATGCATTTCAGCATAAATGGCCACCACAAAATTTTACTTTGGCTCCCGGCCAGCCTGGGCCAGGGCCAAGGCAGTGGGGACCATTCCACTGTTTCCAGGATGGCTTTGCAGGCCACATGAAACCACTCTGCAGGCCGCAACCCGCCCCTGGGCCTTGTGTTTAACATGTCTGTTCTATAAGATTATTTTATCCTGTACAGAATAAAGAGTTTACTTCTTAAAGCTGTTTATTATCTTAAATATTAAAACCAGCAACTTGAATTGTGACCAAAAAACAGTGTATTATCTTAGTTTTAGATATCAGTATCACTTAGCGGTCACAATTAACACCAATTGAATTTTGCACAAACTCTTCAAAGGTGATCTGTATTAACTGAACAATAATGCAGGAGATGCAATTATTATAATAATTAGTTTGGAAATGATTGCATCTGACATAAAAAGCATACATTTCTTTGCTACTGGTCTCTGGACAACAAGCAGAAATGTAAATTTGTTTGCCCAGCATAAGCCAAACAATTCTCAGTTCAGATTCTCTATTAGCCTCAGCTATTGCAATTTAAACTACAACCATAGTTTAGATTATGTTCAAGGAAAAACTTCCTCAGGTCTTTCTGTCAGCAATCTACTTTAGAAGTGGGCCACGACAGAGGTGTAGCTCTAGGAATCAAATGTCGCCCTGCTCTAACCACCTCTGAGTTTGTATCTTGTCTTGCAAATGAATAGTAGAAAACTATTGCTATGAAGTACAGTAGAATACTAATATTATTTAGTGGAATACAAGGCTTATTAAGTCATAGCATTTGTTATCATGCAATAAAAAAGACTGCTTTATGTTTCTAGAAAGTAAACTTGAAAATTTTAATGCACAACAGAATAGCATGCTATTGTGTAAAATAGTTTTTTACCATTTCAGCCATTTTCTCAGCAGGGGTATTGCAGAGTTCTGTGGACGAAGAGCCATTTTTTGAACTGTTAGCAATACTAGAGTTTCCAAGTAGATGTAAAGTTACTGCTCTAGCAAGCTTATGATTTACAGCAGCCAATTCCACCGTACTATGAGGATGTGCACGAGGGTAGTATGTCTGCTGCCTTCCCCACTGTAGAGAAACCAGGAGCTCCTCTAATAATCTGCATTGGAAAGAAGTCAGTTTCAGTTACAAATGTTATAGACATAAGAAAATTCGGTGGGCTAAAGAAACAACAGGATAAACAGTCAAGGAGACGAAGGGATAAAAAGAAAAGAGTGTTAAATTATTCAAGAGCAAAAATTGCTATTTATAGTTTTGCTAGTGATGCAAAGGAACAGATTATGTAGTTTCTGGTTAAGATTTTGGATGGGAAAATTATGGCCCTTGTACAGCAGGGGAGACCGCAACAGGAAGGGCAGAAAACTACAGACCAACTGTGGATTATTTTCAAACGAGGTAAAAATAATTGGGGAAAAAAAAGATTTCGTAGGTAATCCTGCAGCTCACATCAGCCATGTGGGACAGAAAATTCACCCAACAAATATAGACTGACCTATTATCCATTTTCAAATTTTATCCTCCACATAGAATAAAGTTTCTTACATGTGGATGATTTGGAGAATAAAATGTAAGATAAACAGACTGTAGAAGAAAAATTTAAGCTATGCAAGCACCTAATAACTAGGGAAGGTAGATCTCTATTGTCACAGAGAATGATAGTTGCTCTAATGCTTTATGGTCTGTGCTACTATGTACATTTTAAAGCAATGACACTGTTTTCAATTCTTTATATATCTGTCATTCTCTCTATATGATGTACATATACATAAAATATGCATGCATCTGTATACACTACTAAATATTTTGTGTTTGTTTTTCTATTTGTAACCTTCAATTAGGCAAAATGATGCATCATACCACAACAGTTTTTGAATCCAAGTTACTCAAATGGCCTAACTTACAAAATCTGGAATCCATCATTCTAGTGCAGGGATAGGCAACCTTGCCTCTTTTATGACTCGTGGACTTCAACTCCCAGAATTCCTGAGCCAGCCAGCTGGCTCAGGAATTCTGGGAGTTGAAGTCCATGAGTCATAAAAGAGCCAAGGTTGCCAAACCCTGTTCTAGTGGGATTGAAATTTGCAAAAGTTGCGACTGTTTCAATGCTGCTCCTGTTGTATCACAGTCACATGACTGTCATTTCCAATGGTCCCTGTCAGTTTCCCACAAGCAAAATCAGTGAGGAAGCTGGCAGAAAGATGCAAGTCCAAGGCCAGCAGGCAGGCAATTGACTGCTGAAGGAGCGAGGGCGTGTGTAAGGTGTGGCAATGGTTAGGGAAGGTGCATAAGAGGCACAGCAGGTCAGGGTGGGTGTGCGAGGGGGTACAGGGGCGTGTAGGTTGTTGCCATGGTATGAGCACAAAGGGACTTTGGGAGGATGCACAGGTGGGGGAGGACTTGTCTGAGCATTTTGCAACCTTCCCTATTGGCTTCCCCATTGACTTTCTCTCTGCAAGCTTCCCAAAAACAAAGTTAGTGGGAAAGACAACAAGAAGTTGAAAAGTATTCTTGCTCCCAGAAATAATGAACAACTGAAACAATGACACAACTGAAAATGATGACGCATCTGAAACAATGACTTGACTGAAACAATGACCTAATGGGTCATGGATATATACTGTGTGTATATATATAAGCCTTGTTGACTGAGAACAGCTCTACATACATATGATCATTCTGATACAATTATTT